AGAATGCGTGAATGCGAATCCCAATGCCTTATTTTAAAATAACGTATAAATACGAAAATCAATGTTTGATATTATAAACCGCATGAGCAAATCAACACATTGAATTTTAAACTTGCGTGAATACGAATCGCTACATAGGTTTTTAAAAAGGCGTAAATACGAATCACAATATCGGATTTTAAATCTCGTAAATAAGAATCGCAACGTACAATATTCAAATTGAGTGAATAAGAATCGCAACACGCAAATATGAAAAGCTATATTAAAATCCTGTGAACATGAATCGAGATATTAGCAGATTCCAGGCTTGGGACCTCTAAAAGGCTTGTCAGAAGCAGCGTCATTTGAACTACGAAAATCGGATCTATCTGGAGGGCGGGTAAAAAGTTCGGAAAATCTGATCTGCCGCACGTAAAAGGGGAGAAAATAGCTAAAATAAGTAAAAATGAGAAAGGATTGGTAGCTATGTAGTTTGAATTTTCTGTTTCTCTTTGAAAATCGGTGAATTTTCTGAAAAAGCGGAATACTTATAAAAAATGTGAAATTTTCAGAAAATCTGAATTTTTGATAAAAAAGCTGAATGTTAGGAGATAAAAGTGAAAAAAGCGGAAATCCGCTAAAAAGCGGAAAAATCTCATCCCTGTAGATGGTTTAACTTCTAAACTTGTACATTTCTTAAAGCAGTTAATTTCTTTTATTACTTGAATTTTCTGGAAAAAGTGAAGAGCTTAAACTTAATAACTCTGATTTTAAAAGGAGATAAAACTTTTGCTGAAAATAGAAATAGTTCACGATATCTGTGCCGTAGAAATATTAAATATCTTTGTTTTTATTACTTATTTTTAAATTATTTTATTTTTTTGAAACTGAAAGCAAGTTACCACAACTAGGATAAAATCTAAAACTATCAACGATGATTTTTATCAGCACCCATCAAACCATCTGAAATTATCTAAGATTTTTTTGCTTAAATTACGTTTTCTTATTCGTATTTTATTGTAACCAGTATAGTTTTTCTCACTATTTATTCAAAACAGTTTTTATTAGCACATTTATTTTTTTCTTAATAACTAATTTACTATGCATGATAAATTTACAGATGAGTTATTTATTAATAAAACATTGAGCTGCCTTAAACAATTTTATACGATTTCCATACATATCCTATTTATCAATCATTATTCATAGAAATAACAATTTCAATTTGTCATTGTATTTGGACAAATAGTATCCATGAAAATCAGAAGAGAGCTGAAACATAAAAAGGAACAATTTATTCAAGTTATTAAGTTTAATAATTAATGAAAGACTTCCTGAAATTTTGAAAATGTTAGTTACTAATGCTTCTTTTGTGAAAACATTGTAGCTCTTTTGCAACCATTTGAAGGCCAAGGAAAGCATCAAAGGGGTTTTTCTTTAAAAGGTCTGAATGTGTGTAAAAATAAATATTCATACTCCAAACAGGAGTTTGACATTTATGAATTGTACAATAAGAAGGATACTCTTTATTATGAACTGCAGGGTGCCTGTAAGCTTTAGTCCCTCTGTTACTGCCCACTGATGAGAAATGCCTCATCTCTTTTGTAAGATCCATGAGAAAATCTTAGTTTCACTAGAAATATATTCCTTTAGGAGCCCTGAGTCTATGCCCCTTTTTATCCATTCTTTTTGCTGGCTTTTACACTAACATTAATGACAGGAATAAGCAGGGACAAAAACAAAAAAATTGCTTGCTTAAACATTTTGTTGCAACAGCTCATTCAATAATTTCTCTTGTTACAAAAATATGAAGGTTCCTTTTGTTGGGAAGGGGTTTCAAGGAGTCAAGAAAAGTTTAATGAATGCGAAAGAAAAGTTCACACATTCTAACTTTTCCAAGAAAAAAATATTGCAAATCAGCGAATTCCAAGTTATTCTGAGAATTTTAAATATATTATCTGTCATTGGATAGTTAATATATTATCCGCCAAAGCTCGTTAACTTATTTTTATTTTCTTTACTTACTAATTTGAACTTAAAAATCTTTCAAATGTCTCTTTTATTTCAATAAATAAAATAAAACACTATTAAATTTTGTTTATTAAATATAAAAGAATTTGGAACTAACATTTTCATATTCAGAGAGAGAAAGAATTAAATTTTAGGTTCAGTAGTTTAAAATTTTTTTTTAAACAATCGCCGTTTTGCTCTGTTTTCTGTTTCTTATTAAAGTATAGTATTGTTTTGTCCAAATTAGTATAGTAATTTCTTAATTATGACTAATACAGTACGGAACCGATTATCCGGAACGGTCGGGACGATCGGTATTCCGGATAACTGATTTTTCCGGTTTTCTGAATCGCTACAAAAAGCCGTTTTTTTTTATTGTTAAACCCAACTAAAAAATTGGAAATAATCTTAAAAATAAGAAAAAACGATGAAGTAATACACTAATGATTATTTCCAAAATGATGGTAAGGTAAACATCTTTAAAAAAAGAAAGAAAAATCGTAAAATCTTATGAGGAAAAAAAAAATTTCTTTTTAAAAATGACGAGAAAATTTATTGAATTTCGTTCCGGTTTTTGGGTTTTCTGATTTCCGGATAACGGGTTCTGTACTGTAATTTATTGTATTTTTGTTTCCGTTTTTGTTTGTTAGGATGTTGATTAACTGTGTAAAATTTAGGTTTCGCACGTAATTATTAATACGATAGCAGCCATTTTTCATGCTCTTTGAGTTGGTTGATGGAGAGGTAATTTAAGGGCTTTTTCCTTAGCTTCATTAGCAAAACACTCAAACGCATTGTACAGAATTTTACGTGCTTGTGATTTTAAAACTTTACCTTTTTTGAATTTAAAAGGCATTTCTCAAATTTCAAAAAAGTTAAAAGAGGAAAAATAAAATAAAAAATTTACAACTCAAATAAATTTGTTGAATTTTTTTTCTAAAACAGAAGCTTTTGAAAAAGAGAAAAGGTTAAAAAAAGGAATCGAATGCTCTAAATGATGTTTCAGGTGCGAATGCTCATTTCTCTTCACTCTAGGGCTAATACAATAGATCGAAGAAAGAAGTCTCCTTTTCTCCCACCGAAACCAGCCCTAAAGAGGGACCTCGCACCCCTACTTGAAATAATCATACCTCGTTACCATAGTCACCGCCACACCTCCAGACAAATGTCTATCAGAGTACCTATCCTAGACAAACAGTAAATGTTTGCTGCATTTACCCTTTTTCACAGTATTACTTCTTTCCCTAACACTCTAATAAAAAGGTTCCAGGAAATGCCTCTTTTACTAGCCAGCTGCATAGGAAAGAAGGGGGATGGGACTCAGTTGTGCTCTTTTGAAAACAAATCTCCCCCCTTTCCTGTATTCCAGAGGAGGAGTGTCATCCATGGTCTTGATAGATGTTTTCTCCCATTTATGGGTTCAATGCATAAATCACTAGAAACTAGAAAAGGAAAAAATGTGTCAAAAGATTTCTGTTTTTTTTTTNATTATCTTACTTTTTTTCTTCTTTTTCTTTAAGAGAGGGGAAGATGAAGAGACGTTTGTTTATTTTGATTGTTAAAAAGTGTCCAGGGAATCGACCCTTCTGGAAAAGGTATACACTGTATATGGTTTCTCAAAAATTAAAGATTCTCATAATTGAGAAAAATAAATTTTTCATGAAGGAAAAAATTGTGGCCTCTTTGTCAATTATTTCCTAACAGCAAAAAAATTAGTGTTAATAAATTTTGTCAATTATTTCTGAACGACAGTGTTTTGGTTTGTACAAAAAAAAAATTCAAGGTCAAGCTTAAGATTCAAGCCAAATTTATAATGTAGGTAGGAAATTGATTGTTAATAGGTTTTAGCTAAATAAAAAAAATTTTATTTTAAAAAATTTAATGAATGCATTTAAACTGTTTTTTTTATTTTTAATATTTTCGTTCCTTTCAACTTTTTAAATATATTATAAGTAGAGTCCAGATTTTGATAACAATTGCATTTTTTCTCTTTTGGGACATTTTTATTATTTTGCATTTTGAAGCATTTTTAAGTTTTAGGGGTGCTCTTTTTCCCCCATGCTCAGGAGTCAATATATTTTCCTTTTTATGTTATTTTAACATATAAAATTTATTTTAAATTTAAATGAATATAGAAACTGATTTCAACGCATTACAAATTTTGAAACAAATGAAAGTAATTTTAAAGATGAAAACATTCTTTTACATAAATAATATTTTTACTTAAATAATAGGGCAATTTTAAGGATATTTTTCGCAATTTTAAAGACAAATTTCGTAAATCTAAGAGCATTTATAGGAATTTTTTAGGTCATCATAATCTGGGCTCTAATTATTAGTTTAAATTATGTGTTACAAGATGAGAAAAAAGATTAAATATAAAAATTTTTAATTCAATTATTTTAAGTTTTGTTAGATTAGTAACTGTTATTGAAATTTGATTTGAAAAATTTAATTTCCTTGTTTGTTTTTTGTTTTATTTTAAATTTTCTAATTACGTAATATTTTTGGTATTTATCTTTTTCTGCTGTTTCTAAAATGAGTGAAATCTAAATAGTAAACAAAGTTAAAAATTTCGTGTAAAATTACTTGATTTTTGAAAATTCATTGTTCTTTATTATGGTCCTACATTTAGAAATATGACATAATATAGGAACATTTTAAAATTAAACTAATAAGTATTTATTTAAAAAGATTTTTAAATGTAGTATGATGATTACTATTTATTTCTCAACATTTTTCTGTCTTTCATTCAGTTCAGTATGTTTTAACGTTTAGCAAGTTAAATCAAAATTAGAACTTTTATATATAGCAATGACCTTCACACTTCAAAATTTAATCAGCAATATAATTTTATTATAGTTTCTCGAGGGCCACAGCCCGGAGGTAGCCAATACTTGGCGGCGAATATTCTATCACAGATCACGATAAGGAAATCTCCCCCTCCCCCATTTTAATATTTTATATACTAATAATAAAATTTTAAAATACCTTTATCATCATTCATCCTTGAACAAGAAGAATGTGCGATATTCTCAATGTGTTCATTGAATTTCAAACAATTTTCACCTTCAACTTTGTTGATTTTAGATGAAATATTTTTGAAGTATGATCTACGCAGATATGGAGCTTCCTTCAGAATGAAACTTACAGTTTTGTATACTATACAGCACATGAATACAAAATCAGAAATGAGTTCTCTTTCATGAAACAAAAATCTTTCTTTCTCGAAACAAGTCACTTTTAATATGTCACTAATTATTTTGAATTTCATTACAATACTACTCTAAAAGCATAGTGTCACAGACATAGAAACCTTAGAGAACTAGACAAGAAAACTTAGAGAAAATTGAAGAACAAAATTTTGAAAAAACTTTATTTACTGTTTCCCGGGCTGCTTCCGGCTATTCTTTTTTCATCTCAATTTCTCTCTCACTTTCGATTATTGGGGGCCGAGCGGTATCGCCGGTCCAAACGCTCTGTTAAGCGTGGAGTAGCGGGTTCGAATCCCGCCGTAACCCTGGATGTATTCTTTGTGATGTCTTTCTCTGAATTGTTCTATCTGTCCTTCTACTTGACAATGACTTATAAGCCTATATTGAGCACACAAGTCAGCAAATGTATGTAATTTCAATAAAAGAAAAATAAAAAAAAAATCGATTATTGGGTAACTAGTTTTTAACCATAGTTTCTACTACAGAATGGCAACAGGGAGATGATAACGTTGGATAAATGTGATTTTTGTAGATTTTCGCCTAAAGAAATGAAGGTCTGTTTTATATGGTGGCAACGATTAAAAGGTTACAATATATATTCTCGTGGCGACATTATTTGATGTTTTTGTCGCCAGTCAGTGCTTTTTCTGCCCTGTTATGTGCTTTGCTGGCGCCATTGTGTAGTGTAGCAGTTTTAAGGCGGGTTAACACGATCAAAGTACTTTGATCAAAGTAGGCGCGCGCAATCAAAGTAAGTCATAAAAGTAAATAAAACAAAAATGGGAAGCGCGAAATTTTAGGGAAAAGGGAAAATGCGAAGGGGAAAAAAAGTCACGCACTGTTGTTGAGAGTATGATATATCAAATGAATAATCTCGGCCTCTGCGTTTTTAAAATTCATTCGAATTTTAAAATTATTTAATGAAGTTTAAAAAATAAAATCATATTTTATTAGACATTGATATAGGCAGTTTAACCAACCCTGTGATTATATTAATGAAAAGAGGAAAATTATTGTTTTTGAAATTAAATAAATATATTGGCGATCGAAATGGGCTGCAGGTGGCGTAGAGCAGAACTCTTTTCCTATGGCAACACTTCACATGCTTTCCCCATTAGCGTGTGGAAAGTCATAGACGAAGGAAGTACGTTAGTTTCTCTCTTGATTTTCATATAGATTAAAATCTTTTAACTTGAGAAACTATATGGCACTGAAAACTGCATTAAACATAGTTCTAAAGAAAAGTATCACGGAAATTTTAGAAAATATTTTTATTAAGTAAAAAGGAAAAATATTAAGAAAGGGGAAAATATCGTAGTACATTCCTATATAACTGAAAAGAGGAGGAGAGGGAAGGGAGAAGGACTAAAGGCATGAAACCGGTCTCTCCCCAGATGGCGTATTCGAGTGTTGCGATCGCGAATAGAAAGTTCCCTGTATTTGTAATTGTCTCTCACTTTGATGTGACGTAATTTACTTTGATGAATGTTCAACTTTAATTTCTACTTTGATTCAAACAGCGATAATTGTGCCAATTGTGGGTATCGGTAATTGATTGTTATCTATGACGTATTTTCCAAAGAGGATTCTAAAAAGGATAAGGGTCAATTTCAAAGATGCGTTAAATAGAATTTTTCCAGTTTCGTGGGATGAGAAAGCTCGATCCTAACTTCACGTTCGCGGTTACAATCAAGTTAATCACAGAAAAAATTCAAAATAATTATTTCTCAAGCCCATTCTCACTGTATGCAAAATAGCAGGTGAATTTGGAGGGTCACATAAAGCGAAATTTTGAATATTGTGCTAGCGATCTCTGAGGAACCAGTTCCATTACATTCTGTACAATACTTGTGCTAGTAGTCCCGCTGTGGACTGATCGTAAAGACACAGTTTACAGTAGAATACCTCAATCAAGCATCACTGGCTGCGGTCATCAAACGGGTGGACTGACCACTTTGAGCAGCCTGCGTAGGGACCCAGGGCGAGCGGTATTGGTCCTCGTTAAACTGTTCTACTGTGAAGTGCTCGACTTCGCGAGCAGATCGTCGGGCTACTAAAGCAGGGGAGCCATCCCCTCTGCGGAGGATCAAAATTTCGATGGTATGTCTAGGGATCATCCTCAGGAATGTTTCCCAGACCGTCGCTAGTAGCCCATTGTGCAGCTGTTGTGCGACGCAAATAAAGCACCCAAGGGCTGGTAGCTTTCCATATTTCTTTCTTATTTAGTTTTTGATGCGGGTTTCACACTTTGAATGCAAAGGGCACAGGAGTCGAAATATCTTCTGTTGGTATTAGCATATGTATTTTTCCAACTGTATGTCTTTTAAAAGAATATCTTTTTTTAACGAATTCTTTCTCCAATAAATGGTTTACCTTGGTGGCTATTATAATTTTATTCAAAATTTTAAAAAATACCGTCCTTATTCGCATAAGAGTAATGTTCTTTCTCTTTACTTTGAAATATGTCTTAAATAAAATGACAAATACACATTTTTAAATCACTATGTATGCAAAAATTAGAATATCAAAACCAGTTGCTTTTGAAGCACTGAAGGAGTTTCCATTAATCTCCTTATACCTTTACTGGTTTAATTATTCAAATTAATTGGGTTAAAATAGTTTTCAATATTTAAAAAATCGTTTTTACTTAAAAAACATTTTAAAAAGTCGGAAAACAGAAATATATATTATATTTTTTCATTGTTTTAGTTTTCCGGCTTTTAAATTTATTCTTTTTAATAAAAATGCTTTGTTTTTACGTATAAATTTTTTTTTCATTTTATATTTTTCCTCTGTATTTTTGATGCATTTTAGTAATTCTATGTACTTGCAACTTTTGTGTAGCAAATAAAGCTATTATTTTTTCTTAATTTTCTTTGTTATTCTCGTAATCTTTTTTGTTTTTATTGTTTTATATATATACCACTTGTTACCATCATCATTAAAGAATGTTAATTTACTCAAACAAGTTTCTCGATTTATATTCCTTATGCAAGCTATTATTTTGTAATAATTATTATCAAACTCATTATAAAAAAGCTTATGCTATATCATGCTCTTTTAAAGCCAAATTTTTATTTCTTTTAAAAAATAAACTATACATAAATAAACGTTAATTTTTCATCATTCTTCTCTGACATCCCTCGCCATATATCAAAAGTAAAACCTGGTCCTACTGGTAATCCATTGGACTTGTTGATTTTAAATTATGAATTGAAATAGTTAAAACAAAAAGACTGTTTCAATAAATGTAAATAAACTTGGATTTCAGTGATATTTGCTGAGAAACTTTAGCAACTTGAGAAAACTTTGATACTCAATAACTTTAGGCATTTGCTATTTGATTCCTATATCGTTTATTATTGTTATATACAGAGTAACTTTTACATCAAGAAAAGTATTGATTTCTATAAATTTTGCATGCTGAAGCCTTTTACATCTAATACAGAAAAATATAATATTTATAAAATTTATTATACAACTCCACTGAAATTCAATTTTATTTTTTTGCAACATACAAGCAATAGTGCTCAGTTTAAGAAATTTTATTGGTAAAAACATCATTGGATTACAAATCATTTGAAATGGGAAAGAACAATATATTAAATTGAATGAAATAATTTTTATAGTAAATTAAACATATTAGTTTAAGGAAATAATTTTAATGGAATACACTGAAACTATGAATGAAGAAATTTATAAGCTCTCACCCATAAACTATTTTGACTAATTTCTAGTACTTAAAAAGAAGAGAATAAGAACAAAAAGATTGAAGAAAACTGTCACAAAGATTTATAAATATTTTATGTAACATGCATATACATTATGCAGTATCAACATTAAAATTTTACAATATAAAACAATTAGAAGAAGTTTAAATTTAAAGAAAGAGTCTTGAACTGTTTAATAATAAAAATATAATTTGAATTTTAATCTACAAAGAATATATAATAGCAAATTTCCTCAGATTTAATGTTTAGAAAATATATTTAAAAACTTTTGTATAACAGTTTTGAATAGGCCATAGTAAAATGTTATTAACCCAATAAAAGATCCAGTACAAGAATTTTTTTTTTTTTTAAAAATTGCTACCACAATAACCCCCAAAAGTTTTTAGAACAAAAATAAGTAATACATAATTAAGATTATAAAAGTCCTGATAAGATTAAGATTAATTAAGGTAATTAAGTAAATTAAGATAAAAAGTTATAAATGATTATGAAAGCTCCCTAAGGTCAAAACATTTTTCTCTGAACACTTTCACTACTGCTCTTTCTACTTCTGTTTATGGTTTTTAGAAAATGAAAGCTTGTAATTATTTCCGGCTGTGATATAATACAGGCTATTTTAAATGCAGAAGAGGAGATGAAGAATAAATTCTGTCAACCTGTAAGAGATAAAAAATACATTATTCAAAAAAAAAAAAAAAAAAAAAAAAAACAAATAAATAAAAGGTTCATAAATCTTTTCTTTACAATTGATTTAATTTTTTTATACTGCTACATTACATTATTATCATTCGATTTTTTTGTGTCTTCTACGAAATTAGTGATTAACATTTGCTACGCCATCAACTTTTCCTAATACAATCAACTAATAATATCAAATTTTTTCCGAATACAATTTCGACTACTCCCTCTTAAAATTTTCACAAAAGTCTAACACAACTTCAAACATAAAAAAATTCTGAATTTTTTAATATATTTCAGTAAAATTGTTTAAAAGTAATAGTAGTAGTGTTTCAAAATGGTCTACACCACACAAAATTAAACTGTCTTTATTGAATATTCATTTAGAAAAAATAATAAATAAACTTAAACTATACTCACAATACACAAAGTTACTCCTTTACTAAATTTGAAAAGAAATAACTTCCTACTACTCAACAATAAACTGCCTATTAATGAGCATTTGAATTGTGCTGACTGTTACTTCCAATTTGTATATTTTTGAGGAGAATGAAGTATTTGTATATGTTGAACAATCAAGTAACAAAATTAGTATCAACTCTTCATTAATATTAAAACAATATTTATAAAATGCATAGATTAAAAGCTTCAATTTACTTTGACAAAACTTGAATTTGATGAGCACAATGAGACATAGGCTATATATGTGGTATTTCATGAGGATTGCTCTTAATATGTCTTTTCAAATACCTTATCAAAAAATTAGTATTTAAGGAAGGAAAAAATAAACACAGAAAAATGACAAATCA